GTGAGACTCCTCCATCCTGGGACAGGAAAAGCAGAATACATCAAGTCACACTGATGCTCAGAATGCACGTGACTACTGTCTTAAATATCTTATTAAAATGAGGCAGTGCTGTATTTTCTTTGCTTAATAAAAAACGGTTGTGAGCTTTTCCATATGAATGTATCCTTGTAATATTTCTGTGATAATTACATGTAAGATGAAGAATCCATAAAAGGTAAGAATGAGCAAAAGTAAACCATAGGGCATCGCCACATGAAATTGTTATGATTCATTAGATATCCATTAAAATAAGCCATCAGGGCTAAGCTATTGGGGCGGTAACACGTGCACCTGCACATCACCAGTGAATTGCAAGGAGTCCCGCTGTTGCCCTACAGGAATCCGTTTCTGCCAAGAGTCACACAAAAAGAAAAAATGCTCAGACTGGAGCCCCTTTGTTTCATTGTTTAATGGGATTGGTGGGAGGAAGAGATCAACTGACATGTGCCGGGACTCACCTTTGGCAAAGGTTCTGGCAGAATAGACCCATTGCGGCATGCTTTGTGTGTGCACGATGTGCCATCTAGTGGTCAGTGAGCCTAACGTTAATGCAGAGAAAAATGACCTCGTTCCCTTTATTTCCTTGCATAGCAGAGGTTTGATACTGTAGGGTAACTATTATTTGGAGGAAAAATTATTATTTTCTTAGAGGCTGTAGATGGAATACAAATTATTGTGGGGGGAAACGCTGATGTTACAGTAATCATTCAAGTCAGAAGGTGTGAGTACATATGCGTTTCATCTGCCCCACAGGGTATTTTCTTCCATTTTCATTTACTAAGGTAGAATTAATGCGTTCAATATAGTGCACAGCTGGCTCAACTTCTACTTGTATGAAGTTTTACATATGTGCAACTCATGAAGTCATCACCTGAGACATAGAAGTTTCCAGCATCCAGCAGTCTTACTCACCCCACATCCTGGTCAGTCCTCTCTCAGAGGTAGCCACTGCCCTGAATTCTACACCAGCAACTTACAGTAGCATCAGTAACACGTTTCTTCCTAACCCTGATCTCCCAAAAAATAAACTCCTGTAATCATCAATTTAATAGTTTACCCAAAAAGGGGGCAGTTTCCTCTACAGAAATACTGCTGTGTTTGAAGGGGTTTACTGTTTTTCAAAGTCCAAGGGAAATAATGTTATCTCTTTCCCCAGTCAAAATTCCTAGTACAATTTTGTTCTTGCTTAGCCTCTCAACTAGGAGATATGGCTATTTGGTGCATTGATCGTATTTTCCGCAGTGTATATAGGCAGCCAACTCCGTTTTCAGAGAGGTGCCGTTACTTTTGAGTGGCAGCTCAAAGGTACCACTGATTGCCATGACAAAGCCTATGAATTCTGATGTAGCGTTTCAGAAATAAATGTGAACGCCATGTCACTAGCAACCGTTCTGACATCCTTCAAACTAAGCCAAGTTATAGCATCAGTCCTAGTGCCTACCCTAAGGCAAATTTGTAATGAATAAAGGCTGTACAGGCTAATTTATAATGAATAGCACCGTGCAGTCATTGTTGCTGTTTATACAGACCTCTTTCTGTTCAAGTGAAACCCTTGACAACCCCTTTTTTTAGGATTTTTTTTTTAATTTTTTAAAGAGTTACAGGAGAGGTAGAGACAGGGAGACAGTGAAGTCTTCCATCTGCTGGTGGGACAATATATAAATATACACAGCATAATATGGTTAGATATTTCTTTTTTAAAGATCTATGTATTTATTTGAAAGGCAGAGTTACAGAGGCAGAGGTAGAGAGAGAAGAAGAGGACTTCCATCCGCTGGTTCACTCCCCAAATGGCCGCAATGCCTTTCCCTGGTGCATTAGCAGGGAACTGGATCAGAAGTGGAGCACGATCCAGCTCTCTGCTTTAACCTGGGAAATCAGTAGAAGATGGCCCAAGTCCTTGGGCCCCTGCCCCTATGTGGGAGACCCAGAAAAAGCTTCTGGCTCCTGGCTTCAGATCAGCCCTCCTCAGGCCTTGCAACTGTTTAGTGAGTGAGCCAGCCATTGGAAGACCTTTGTCTCTGTCTCTCCCTCTGTCTGTAACTTGGTTTCTCAAATAAAATAAATAAATAAAATCTTAAAAAAAAAAAGACAAAGTAGAGCAGCCAGGACTCAAACTGGCATGCATATGGAATGTTGATGGGGCAATTCGTGGATTTGCCCACTATGCCACACACCAGCCCCTTGTTTTCTACTTTAAAAATCTGTAGACATTTAATGTTTATGTATTTCAAATTAAGCCTTTAACTTTCTGCCATACTCAATGACTAGAATTGCCAAAGTAATATTAAATAATAATGGAAAGACTAGCAATTCATGGTTTCTTCTTGACTTTAATGGAAGTCACTCAGGTGTTCATTAATGATGTACTAATTTAAGAGGGTTAAATCATAATAAATCCAAATAGTTCTGTTTTTTGAATATCAGGGATGGGCATTTGGTACTGCATTAAGACGCCATTTGGAATGCCCACATCCCAGATCTGTGTACCTATATTCTAGTCATAGCTCTGCTTCCACTTCAGCTCTGCTAATCACACCCTGGGAGACAGACAGCAGGTGTTGCCTCAAGTACTTAGGTGCCTGCCACACATGTGAGACCCAGATTGAGCTCTGAGCTCCTGGCTTTGGCCTGACCTGGCTCCAGCCCCAGCCCCTGCTGTTGCAGACATTTGGGGAATAAACTGGCAGTTAGAAGATCTCTGTCTCTGTCTTTCAAATAAATTATAAATAAATAAATAAAATTTTAATATCAGTAATGGGAAATCAAACATTACCAAATGTCTTTGATGTCATTAAAATAATTAGATTTGTTCCAATTTGGCCAATAACTGTGGTATCTTATGTTAATAGATTTTCTAAAATGAGTCCCCTTTTCCAGTGAATAATACTCCTCCTTGGGATATGATATTTTCAATGAGTTGTCAAATTTGATTACACACAATTTTTTTTTTAAGGATCTTAACATATATGCTCATTGTGTATTGTTTTAGAGACAAGATTAAAGACAAACTCTCCCAGCCTCATTCTAGTTTATAACAGGGAAAGCTGAACTTGAGAATAAGGAATCTATTCAGGTCCCTTTTTCATTGTCTTTTTTTTATCCTCTTAACTGCAGTAAACATTTTCTTTTGCTTTTGTGAACTCACCAGGTCCGTAATCTCTCTCAAAGCACTCATCGTCCTGTTTCTTATTTTAACACTCCCTGTGTTATTTGTCTTTTCTTCTTGTGTGAGTGGTCTGTATCTTAAATTGGAGAGATTTTCTTCTCCCCCACTTATCCACTGTGTGTTGTCCACCTAGACATGCATGGGTCAGCTTCCCCAGGCCCAGGTGCAGACACAAGCAGAGACCGGAACAAAGCACTAAACCAGCCTTGGTCTCGCTGCCACAGCTGGCCATCCCATTCTGGTTCTGAGCATGGATTACAGAGAACCAGTTACTTCAACCAATTTTCTGGACTGAAGTACATACACTTAACACTAAATGCAGTGTTCCACAGCACAGCAAGGCAACTGGAGCTCACACTAAGATATAATACACTGGGTACAAAACTGGAGGGAGAGGCACTGGAGGCTCCACACATGGAGGAAGGTTGGGGAGGAAGGGCTGCTACTGTCTTATTTCCTCAGTTTACACTGTATGCATTTGCTAAAGTTGTACTGTGCCTCATAAAGGTGGGCAGATATTACATGGCATTACATTATTGAAAACAATAAAATAAGAAAAAAAAAGTAAATATATTCATTATCCTCTAATACCTTTCATTAAAAAATCCTTGTGGTACTTCATCACTTCAAAATTATATATATATATATATCAATTATATATATCAATTATATATATATATATATATATCAATTGCCATTCTTTCAGAGGGGAACCCTCACAAAATTCACAGTTCCCCTAGCACATAGATATAGCGTAAGGCCCCCTGTGCTTCTCACTCCGCCAGGCTTACAGTTTGTACTTGACTCGTGTTTCTGGAATTACTTTCTTCCAGATGCAACCTTATTGAATGGTATTTTTCATACTTATTTAAAGTACTAAAGCAACTTCAAAGACCGGGCAGAACTTTTAACAAGTAGTTCAATATAGATTCACAACCAAAAGAAAATGAAAATGGAAGAAATAACAACAAAAATGAAGGGAAAGCTATGCAATGAGCAATTCCACTTTGGGGGTGTATACCCAGAAGATGCTTAGTTGCAGAGATATTTGTACATCTGTACTCATAGCAGCATTATTTGCAATAGCCACAAAATGGAAACAACCCAGGTGTCTCAGTGGATGAATGGATAAGCAGAATGTGGTGTATACACCTAATGCAGTAGCCAAGCAATACCACTAGCGTAGGACTGACAGACCGCTTTACCCCAATAGCATGATGAGCATCGGCAAGCCTAACTCATTTAAAATTAGAAAGTGTTCACTTTGAGGACCTTGTGCTCAGTGAAATCAGGCAGCCAAAAAAGGACAAATAATAGATGACCCACTTAGGTGAGATACCTAGAGTAGTCCAGTACATGGAGACAAGGAGCAGAGTGGTGGTTTCTGGGCACAGAAAGGATGGGAAGTTGTTTAATGGGTCCAGATGCCCAGTTCTGCAGGAGAGGACTCCTGAGGGTGAAAGGTGGTGATGGTTGTACAAGAACATGGATGTTCTTAATGTCACTGAGCTGCACACTTAAAAATGGTGGAGACGGCAAGCTTTGTGTGTGAATTCTGCGGCTTTTAACCAGTGCATAGCGAAGGCTGTACTGTGCGCTAGACTCGAAATGAGGGCCATGGCCTCAAGACAGTTTCAGGTGGTGCCGCCTCTGCGTGCCTGCTCAGCTCTTACCGTCCTCCCCAGAAAGGCGTACTAAAGCAATGTTGTTGACCTGAAACTTCCGGGAAGTAGCCTGCCTCCTTTTGAAAGCCAAGTGCTGTGTTGGGTAATTACTTTCTTCTTCTCCTTAGGGTGTTAAATACCACATTATTTGAAAGCTGGGAGATCGTTGGACCTTACCCTTCCTGGTGGGTTTTTAACCTCCTGCTGTTGCTAATACAAGGGTTGAACTGCTTCTGGTCTTACTTGATTGTCAAAATAGCTTGCAAAGCTGTTTCAAAAGGCAAGGTAAGCTAAAACGCGTACTTTTCAATATGTCCAGGAAAATTGTTTTGGTTCCTCTGAATCAACTATTTATTATTTTAGATGTCATAAAAACTGGTATTTTTTTTTTCCAAAGTTGAGCAAAAGCCACCTAGAAACACAAAGCAAATTTTCGTTTTCTTCTCCTTGGCTCATTTTTTAGTTGTCAATATTGCTTTGCTGCTGATGATGCTGAGTGATCTGCATATGTAATGATGATATTTTATTTATTGTATTCTTTTGCTTCCTCTCTGTATTTCCCCTGGTCCTTCTCTGATTATATTCATACTGACAGAAATGTAATGACTTCCTTTTATGATAAGGGTTGCTTGGTACAGTCTGTCCATTTAAACAACCCTTTCTCTCAAATTGAATAAATGCATTCATGACTTTTCCAGCAAAAATGTGTTCCAATCTCTGTGGTTTAAAATAGTCTCATGAGGCTGATCTGAAGAAAGCTTGCTGCGCCCCAGCCCCTCTGTATAGAGAGTGACTTTTCCAGCTCGTTCTCTGTGACAGTTTCTTATATTCATTGTTTGTTCTCTTCCTTCTGCCCCCCTGGAAGGCTGGGAAGTGGAACCCCTTACATGTAAGTTTTTCTTACGCTCACTATCCTTGTCCTGGGTGCCACTTGCCTGTTGGAGGGCCACTCAAACGCTTTTTCCCCCTTCCTGTTGTTCTGTCTAATCCGTTGGCACTGTCTGGAGGCTCTAGTTTCTGTTAGCTGCAAAGGATGCTAGGAATCGCTGTTGCTGCCCTTCTGTGCAAGCTTGTATTCTGCTAAGTTTTGCATGATCCATCAGAGAAGAAGAGGTTCCTTCACTGTTGGTTACTATGTTCCTAAAAGACAGAAACAGACCAAAGGCAAGTATGGGAGACAGAAGGAGTTGCAGGGAAGAGGAGAGAATCAGTGCCTGCAGAATGGAACCCTGGGCATCAGCTGTTGGCCTCTTCTGTCCAGGGCCCCAGGGTAGCACGTGACCCTGGCCGCCCTCTCACAGGGGAAGTTGAGACCTACGGTCATGTCCCAAGAAGCCAATTCTCAGCATCAGCTCCTATATCAAGCCAAAATCTTTTGAACAGTTAATTGTTTAGAAGCTAAAGTTCCTTTGTCTATGTGACCTCTTCCTCTTTCACATGAACATGCATTTTATTTGAAATTTTCTGATCCTCATTTGGATGCAGATTAAGTCAGTGTGCACATTGTTGTAAGAATGACAATAACTCAAGATGCAAGGGTGCTGTGGATTGCATCCCCTGCAGTCGTATTGCCCTGCTATGTCCACCAGACTTACTGACTTCTCCCAGCTCATTGCTTCAGCTTTACCAACAGACGATCTGCACTTCATTCCAGATTTCTGGCTTCAGAATGTTGTAACTGCCGCTGCAGCTCCCACGTAGGATAGTAAGATTCACCGTACCCTTGAGTTGTTTTCCTGTGGGTTATTTGGAGATCTTAGAAGATAGACATTGTCCTTTCTTTGAAGGTAACATAAGTATAGATTTTCAAAATGCAATTGATAATCATCTTACGGAGCATGTGACTGTAAACCAGTCACTTGCTGGAACTGGGAGTTTACTGTGAGCAGCTTAATTTGTGACTAATGGTCTTACAAACATAGTGGAGCTTTATTGGAATGCTGTCTTTGTGACCCATGTTTTCCACATTAAAGAACCCTTATCGTCCAGTCACTTTGGAGATGTTTCTGTGAGTCCAGCCTCATCTAAAGAACCATTGCAGTGGGGTTCAGTGTTAGGATATTTCCTCCATCACTGGCTGGAGTGGAGCAATACTTCTAGTTTCTCTTTCTCTTGTCCCCACCCACCTGAGAGATGACATTTCTCTCACAGTAATGATTTTGGGGGTGGATTCTAGGATTCTCAAGTTGGTGTGTGGTGGTGGCACATTGCAGGGGTGGGGGAAGTCCCCAGCTAGTTTTGGTAGACCTCCCAGGAGTCTGTGCCTGCCTCTCCAACCCCACTCCCTGGAGAATCACAGGAGACTTGACTGTGGAGTTGTCTATGACTAGGTGCCACCCCCACTGAAAGAAAAAAAAAATAAGTAAATGGTGCTCAGTTATTTGACGACCTTAAAAATGATGACCATATAATTTAGAATTACAGAGCTGGAGATTCAAGCTATTTAATTTCCCCTAAAATTACTTTCTTGCTAGTTAGTAAGAGTGTTTTCATCCTTTAAGACAATGTATAGATTTATACCCTGGTGCCTTATTTTACCATTTTCATTACTTAATGAGACTGAATAGAGGATTGGAGAAATTGGCAAGATGGGAGCCAATTCTTTTTTTTTTTTTTTTTTTTTTTTGACAGGCAGAGTGGACAGTGAGAGAGAGAGACAGAGAGAAAGGTCTTCCTTTGCCGTTGGTTCACCCTCCAATGGCCGCCGCGGCCGGCGCGCTGCGGCCGGCGCACCGCGCTGATCCGATGGCAGGAGCCAGGAGCCAGGTGCTTTTCCTGGTCTCCCATGGGGTGCAGGGCCCAAGCACCTGGGCCATCCTCCACTGCACTCCCTGGCCACAGCAGAGGGCTGGCCTGGAAGAGGGGCAACCGGGACAGAATCCGGCGCCCCGACCGGGACTAGAACCCGGTGTGCCGGCGCCGCTAGGCGGAGGATTAGCCTAGTGAGCCGCGGCGCCGGCCGGGAGCCAATTCTTAATGATCCCATCAGTAGATTTTACATCTCACCCAGCAGGTTCTGAAAATGTTACTTGCCATTGCTTGTTATGTGATCTGCTTGTATAAAACACGATTTCTAATTAATTTAGCAGACATACAAATGTCAAATCATAAAACAATGCATTACAAAGTCAAATAGAAATGACTTTTTTTTTAACAATCTGAGCTAGTAAAATCTCCATTAATGTGATTAACTAGGAGCTGACTTTAAATAATTCTCAAGGAGAAAGTGACGGTCAGAGAGTTCATTGATCCACTTGTACCCATTCCTATAATGCCACTGCTGTAGCACAAGAAAAAGAGTGGGATTCATGGTCTAGTACGTTCTGAATATCAAAGTGTACCTTAAAGAAGTCAGCACATTCAGCCTTCCGTGATGCCACTTAGATTCTGTCACAACTGACTTTGTCACCCGAAGGGTGTCTTTCCAGTGAAGGGAAGCGTATAGCTATGGTAGCTGTGCTGATATTCTTAATGTTCTTTAGTTTTTTAACACTTGGGTTAGTTTAGCTTCCTATACGGTTGCATGTGCTTCTGAGCATGCCATTCCTATGACTCCTTAGGAGCTGTTTACGCACACCTTCTTGTATCCCACAGGTGTCCAAGGATGACCGAAGTGACATTGAGTCCAGCTCAGATGAGGAGGACTCAGAACTTCCAGGGAAGACCCCGCATGCTGCGACAGCCACCAATGGGACCAGTGGTACCAATGGCTATCTCCTGACCGGTCCTTGCTCCGTGGATGATTAATTACTCAAAACTCCAAGTCCCGAACAAAGTGAACTATTTGTTCCTGGAAGTATTTAATAAATTGCAAATGCAGTTCCTTTCATAATATCTCAGCACCAGAAACAAAAATTAGGATTATCAAAGCATTTTGAATAGTGCACTGCCATATGTCCTGTCTGTGAATGACGAAGAATTACCATTCTCTATATGTAGGCATGCTGTATGTAACTGACACAAGGGAACAGTATTTGCATTTGTACTGTCATAGAATATTATTTATTTTTTGTATTTGTTTGTAAATCTGTGGACAAAAGAGGGTTTCCTCACTCCTTCTACTCTCTGGGTTCCTGGCAGTGGAGGAGATGCTTGTCTGCTTCCACCCCTTTCTGTTGCTGTTGTCCGGAGTGCTAGGAGCATCAGCTTGACTTGGCACTTAGAGCAGGCACAACCAGTGCGAGATTCTCATGGCTCTCTGAATAGCTCTGCTTTCTTTGTGTTAACAGTACCCATCTGAAACTGCCTCTACAGCAGTGGCCATTCTCCCCATGTAAAAATTAGGCAGGATGGACTTGATTTCTTAATTGTCACTCTTCATGGTCAGTTAGCAGTTCAGATGAAAGAGGACAGTTACTAGAAGAATTTTTTGGTACGAACCTGCTTTGGAATACACTTCTTTCCTCATGCACACAGCCAAGATGACTTCAGTGAGTATGGTGGCTGGTTGGGGCATAACCTTGTAGATTGCAGAAAGTTGTTTTTTGGGTTTTTTGTTGTTGTTGTTGTTTGTTTGTTTTTTAATTCTCTGATGGGGTCAGTACTCCATCTCTAAAGGAAAATACTAGTGTAAGTTCATGGTTATATACAAAGAAATCACTTTGATACTGGGGATTGGCATTGTATTCTGGGAATAAGGTAAAGAGAACAGCTGATTTTCAAGGTTTTCCCACTAACCCTGTAAGTAGCAGTTTTCTCTGGTCTCCTTCACACACACACACACACACACACACACACGAAGCAAAGTGTGTTTTGATGGAAAAGAAGTACTCTTTCAAGAGTTAGCCAAGATCATCTCCAGTGCAAGGTACTTTGTTGCAACTGCTTTTCAAGGAAAAACCCTATCTAGTATTTGATCTTGAGGTTTCAGCTTTGCCAGTAAAGCCAGTGGGATGAAGACTCTTTCACCGATTGCTTCTCCCCTTAAGCACGTCCCAGAATGACTCTCCTCACTGAGAACGGAGCAGTGTTGGGCTCCCAGTCTTTTGTGTGCTTCTGTGAAAGCTTACTTGATTTCCAAGAGTTCTTTTCCAAATGGATCTATTCCTAGAGAAACAACAAAAATTCTATTGGACAATGGCAGTACAGGAATGAGCAAAATGACTGGAGAATGTGTTTCCCTGTCTTCTCCATGGCAGTTATTGATATGCAGATAAGAAAACTACATATGTAAGCCAAAGATTTTATCTTTTCTTCCAACTTTTCATAAGAGGGAGGGAAGTGGGGTTACAGATCAAAAAGACCATTGCCTAAAACAGGGGTCCAGGATACAAATGCAAAAACAAAAATGTGTGGATGAGAGCTCGGTGAATACAGCAGCAAAATGCAGAGAGTACTTTCTGTCCTGCTCAGAGCCGGTCACAGTCAATTCTGTGTTTTGAAAAAAAAATTAAAATACAGCTTTGTGCCCACAGTTTTCAACCTGTAAGTTAGTAGTTAAAGGAATGTTCCCAAACCAAAACTCGCAGTAATATTAAATCTTTCTGCACCTACTTACAAAATAGTATGTTTCTGCTATAGCCCAGAGCAGAGGGAAGAGGCTTGAAAATCTGCTTATTTATTGAGAAAACAATGCAACTAGTTCTGCTGGTAGAAATGTATTATTTTTATTTCACAAGACAGGCGTGTGTCTGAGAGCGTAGCTTGTGCATGGTTGAGTCTGTGAGACCAGTCTTTAAACCTTAAAAATACTTGTTAGTCACCAGAACATCTGTTAAAATGCAGCTATATAAAAAGTAATAGCAAGCATATTTTGGCTGCAGATTTTGAGGTGAGAGCTCCACTCTGTATCAACTAACACAGGGAACATATTTGTCTCACTTTGGCGTCGGGTTCAGGTCTTAGCAGCAGGTGACATGAGGAGAGGGCCACAGGGTGGCGCTGTTGGGGTCACATGACACTGGCCCAGGAACGTCCCATCAGAAGGACCAGCTCCTAAAGTTAAGGTTAGAAGAAGTGCATGATGTGCAGTGAATTGAGCCTGTCACTAGCAAAGGCAAATCCAAACACTGTTTTGTTTTTCGCAGAAGTAGCTTAGAAGGACTGGGTGTGTGTGCAACCTCTCTGGCTGCAGGCAGTCATTTAACACCGCCCTCTACATCCCTACAGATTTTTAGTTCATTTTATATTTTAGAGCAAAGAGTTCTTTCTGGCTAATCAAAATGGAGTCTGTAGGCTCTTTAGTAGAGTAGTATATCGCTATCCACTGCTCTCCCTTGGTGGGCTGCTAAGGCTGAGAGAGAAACAGAGGTGAGGGGTCTGATGTTCCGCTTGTGCCAGGCCACACCATAGCGTTGGAAGTGTGTTTTGTCAGTGCAGCTGTAGTTAGTGGGAGTGCTGTTTCTCATTCAGTAATTTAGCCTGTGTGGATACCTCCTTCCTTCCGGTCACGTTCAAACCTTCCCAGGGTAAAAGGGGTCTGTAGAATAGAGTCCAGGAAAGCAATGCTTTCTTCTCCAAAGTTATAGCTTCTCTGGATTTCTTAGTTGGGGGAGAAGTAGAAAACTAAGTAGAATTTGGCCTCAGGTCAATAAATGATATAAAAATATGTGACTGTGTATGTATATGTATGTTTCTCCAAAAACGTGATAAAGCCAAAATATCACTGACTCATCCTTCTCCACCTTCTTTTCATGAAATCCATCCACCGTGGCCTGAGACATTTCTCTGTCTCTCACTCTCACTGTTTAGCATCCTGCCTGTTCCTGCCCCTCACACAGCCGAGAGTGGTGGAACCCCTCCGCCTCCTAGCCGCAGAGCTGGACGCGGTGGAGTCTAGGTCACAGGGCACCCAAGGGCAGCACAGAAGCCATGTACAGTTCACATGTCCAAATGCAGTGCCATGGGTGTTGACAGTGGGGGAGCGCCGATCAGTATTTTGGATTATTCGAGTCTGTGTTATAAAAATGCCTACGATTGCCGCCTCACCGCAGGGTTTAGTGACACGCCACTCTTGCTGGGCAGCCAGGCAAAAGGTGTCCTGAGATGCCGTCACGTAACGCCCCAGCATCTGGGAAAGGTGAAGGAGGCAGGAAAGGCGGGCAGGAAGGAGCATCACATGAGTTCACCTGTAGGCCACTTGGTGGCTGACCCTCACAGTGTCCCGTTGTGTTGCCAACCTCCCATTCTAAGTATCCAAGCAAACTGAACGCCTTCATCTTGCATAGAAAGGGCCTGACTTGTCCACTTTGTCTAACAACCTCGTTGTTATTGGGGCTAAGTAAAAAGTGAGATTGTATTTCAGCTTACCCAAGATTTTGCTGAAGAGCCAACTGTTCTCTAGAGAGAACTTTATAGATACCTGTGATTGTCCCCAGTCTGTTCATGATTTTTGAAATAATTATTTTTGGTCCTTTTTTGGAAATCTTAATGCCAAAGTTGCCAGAATATTTGACTTTTTTTTTTAATTTGAAGAAAAGTATACTGAATAATTCCAAAGGTGTTAAAGATTCTCTTTCTCACTATGTGTGATGTCATTATATCCAAAGAAGCTTCAAGAAATCCTTGGGAAATAAAGATTAAATGTTTACATTTCATGTGGCATATGCAGTTTTAAGGTTCTACTTGGCTACCTTTTTTCTCTTGATCGCTGATTCTGCTTTGTGAGTAAATAGTAGTAGCTCTGAAGGGTTTCTAACATCCAAGTAAGAAAAAATCAAATTGGATCCAAGTCAGTCTGATAGGAAAGTGATTATGTGGCTCTTGCAAGGCCTACATAATCCACATGGAGAGAGAAAATTAAGTGAGCTTTAGTTATTGTACAGTTACTGCTGTCCAAAATCCTATCTATGGAAAAATAATCATAAATAGCTCAGTAATCATAAACAAGTTCTTGACAAAAATGAAGAAAGATACTTTTTCTAATTGAAGATATTGTCTCCAGAGACCATTTAGATTTCTCTTGGTAAAATGAAATTGTGCCACTCTTAAAATTAACACATTAGCACTGGTTCACCTGCCATGTTTTAGTTCATTTGCTTTTGTGTGCAGTGTCCCTTCCCCTCCCCTAGGGGGCACTTCGTAGATGCTGAGGAACCCTATCCTGGATGCTGTGGGAAGTCCTCCAGTTCACAGAGGTAGGGTAGCTGTTGCTCGTTTTCAAGGAGACAATTAAATTAGAGAACGCAAAGCATCGTAAATATCATTAATAAGATCTGTAAACACCCAAAGGAGAACCTTGGTCTTTTCCAGGTATTTCCCAGTTGAGTCTACTCCTAAGGCGCTCGAAAGGAAAGCATTTACAACATCACGAGGCAAGAGCCCACCAGAACACACAAATACTGGATCTCAGCAGCAGGACAGCACAGGGCACTGCCCAGGCAAGGGTGGCTGGGATCATCAGCCTTGGACCTTTTTTTTAATCTCACCCACTCACCTTCCTTTCAGCCTCCTGGTCAAGGAAAACCGGGATGTTGCCATTTTGCTGTGATGGATTTCCCAGTAGCCTCTGGATCAGCCATGCAGGCCGTGTTTCTGAAAGAAACACTGTGCCCGAGAGTGTTTTCCTGCCCAGGTCAGTGAGACCTTGGCTTCCGCTCCTGCTGCAGGGCCTGGACACCAGGGAACGGCAGCTGCTGGAATGGTTTCTGTTTACAGTGAAAAGTTAGATGTCACTGGGATTATTTTCTCCTTTTTTTAATCAACAATAATTTTTTTAATTGTCATGGTGAGGCTTCCCTTTGGAATTTGTAAAGAAGAAATGAGCTCTCTAATTAAAAAAATGAAGTGGTGATTCTGGAACTTTAATTTGGAGCTCCGTTGTGTCACATATGGAAAACACCCGCCCATACACACACACACACACACACACACACACACACACCCTTGATTTCCCGAAGTTTCCTAAGGCCCCAAAACTCATGATTTCTATCAACTCTTTGCCCACCTCATGGTCATACACCTCCACACCATTTGTTGTCAGGGAAGAAGGTGGTGGTTAGATGTTGGATTTGATTTTTTTTTTTTTTTTCAATTTGCAGTGAGAAATAGGAGAGGTGACAAATCCACTTGTTTTCTTAAGACAATTCAGTCCTTGAGCATCTCTGTTGGAAGTGAAATGATGTACTGTTAGCCGATTAGAATTATTTTGTGTATTGTTACTGTGTTTTGCTGATTTTTATATGGAAGTATAATTATTCATTCTTGATCTCTGGAAGCAATCATTATTCTAAGGATCATTTGACTTTGGAAACACTTTCATAATAAAGATAAGTATTAAAGAATGCTGTCTCAGTGGCCTTGGCTCTGGCAGTGAACAGCTCTTGTTGAGGACTCAGCACACCTTCCTGGGTGAAATTCTTGCAGTGCTCACCTCATCCCAGTTACTTCTTACAAACTCCTCAAACCCCAGTGTCACCATGATCACTGAGAACATAAAGTTATTAGTTCATTATATTCCATGGTAGGTCTTCAAATATCAAGAAATATGGGTTGCCTGGCACCGTGGCTCACTAGGCTAATCCTCTGCCTGCAGCACCGGCACACTAGGTTCTAGTCCCGGTCGGGGCACCGGATTCTGTCCCGGTTGCCCCCCTTCCAGGCCAGCTCTCTGCTGTGGCCCAGGAGTGCAGTGGAAGATGGCCCAAGTGCTTGGGCCCTGCACCCCATGGGAGACCAGGAGGAAGCACCTGGCTCCTGGCTTTGGATCTGCGCAGTGCACCATTGGTAGCGGCCATTTAGGGGGTGAACCAAAGGAGGGAAGACCTTTCTCTCTCTCTCTCTCTCACTGTCTAAAAAAAAAAAAGAAATATGGGGCAAGCCTGTAGCCTAGCAGTTGAGGTGCCCCCATCCCATATCAGAGTGCCTGGATTTGATTTCTGGCTCTGAATCCTAACCCCAGACTTCTGCTAATACAGACCACTGGAGGCAACAGTAATAGCTCAAGTGCTTGGGTTTTTGCCACTCTTGTGGGTGACCTGGATTGCATTACAGGTCAGTCAGTCCCAGGCATTGTGGGCACATGGGGGTATGAACCAGTAGATGGGAGCTCTGTCTCTCTCATTCTCTTTCTATGTCTCTGCCTCTCAAATAAATAAATAAATTATATTTAAGATGCAAAAACTTTAGTGTTAAATTTTATGTAGCAGCATCGGCATTATGGCGTTGGCAGGTTAAGCTGCCACCTGCAGTGCCAGTATCCCGTATGGGCTGTGGTTTGAGTCCCAGCTGCTCCACTTCAGATCCAGCTCCCTGCTAATGGCCTGGGAAAAGGAACAGAAGATGGCCCAAGTGCTTGGGAACCTGCAACTCATGTAGGAGACTTGGATGAAGCGCCTGGCTCCTGGCTCCTGGCTCCTGGCTCCTGGCTCCTGACTTCAACCTGGCCCAGCTGTGGATGTTGGGGCCATTTTTGGGGGGGGGGGTGAACTAGCACTTAGAAGATCTCTCTCTTTCCCTCTCTTTCTGTAACTCTGCCTTTCAAATAAATAAATTTTATGTAGCACTTCCTTCTGTTAAAAAATATATGATTATGGAGATACCAATTTAAATACATCAGACTATGCTGCCTTTCCCAACATCAAAAAGGACTTAGGACAAACAACCCAAAGCGCAATGCAGAGCTGTTCCTCTGTGTGCCTCACAGGGGCGTCGCTGGTGGCACCTGCTCTGGGTCTGTGCCCTCTTTGTTAGACCTTCTGCCCCCTTTGTCCATCTTTCCTGTGAAGCTCTCTTCCCCAAGTTGCTCTTCTGCTCTGAGCTCACATCATGGAGTTTTTCAGAAGCCACAAAATTAGCACAGTAATTCAACCAGACGCCCCACCACCAGAACCAGCTTTATGGTTTAAAAAAAATCTTGTAAATAATCACTCCCATCAACAATCTGATTCCAAGAATGCATTATTCTGATAAATTTAACAGAAATTTCTCTAAGGCACAAAAAAAATGGATTTTTATGAAAATACAACCCTCTGGAAGCCCTGCACTCTGCCGGTTCTATGACCAGCATAATCTGACACTACGAGCATCTCTCCCCAATAGAAACAATAGAACTCAGCTTCTCTGAAATGGCTCCCTTGTTGCTGGGCTGCCACATCCAACCTAATTCTCTGCCAGCCCTGAGCTTGCTTTGACAGGAAGAGTAATAGTACCGACAGCATTAAAAGTTGATCCGACAACAAAGCAGGGGCTGGACATCAGGATCCCCTGGGATCAGAACCAGGCACCGTGATGTCTGGAGCCTGGGACCACACCCTTGATTATTCCTCAACGTGCTGTGACTTGAGGAAACAAGATGGACATCATTCCTAAATACAGAAAGTTTAAAAATTTATAAATCCTGAATTAGAGATCAAGCGAGAAAAACATGACTGTCAGTGGTGACGTTGCAGAAGCTTCACTAAAAGCATTACTTTCCTAGACGTGAGCTGGATGACAGATAAACAAGGGAGGTAACCACTCAGAAGCAAGCAAGTGTGGGAACCCGTTACCACCCAGTGAGGGGGCTAAGGAGGAGGAGAGGCCACCTGTCGTGGCTGCACACCTACATAAGGAGCAAATGTCCTGGTATTAGCCAAACTTCACCAGCAAGCCACCGGTGTGGCGACTGGGAGACCCAGGCTATAGAGTTCAGCAGGACAGAGAAGATGCCAGGCTGGTGGGGAAGGGGAGGGAGTGGGTTGAGGGTCTGCGCATGGAGTGAACTGCATAAAGCCAGTATTCCTCAAGCCTCACATGGGGCCTAGCATGTTACAGGACACAAGTAGTGTTTGTTGGAAAAACAAATGGACACAGTTAGATGAGAACTGATACTACTTAAAGCTATTCGCAATTAGGGGGCAAGAGGTTCATCAGAAGCCCGTTGACTGTTTCTGAACTCAAGGTTTCTCTGTGGGAAATGCAGCTTCTCTCACTTGTACACTGGATCAGCTGAGGGACTTCTTGGCTGGCTGTGGGTAAGGGAAGTCACCTGTTCTGCCAGTATCCTAGGCCCAGATATGCAGGGATGAAGATGCAGGGCTGAGACTAGATGGGGCGAGACACAAGCTGATAGGAACTAGGGACGAAGGTGTGGCAAACTGGAGAATTAATGAAATAAAATTGCGAAACAAAGATGGACCAAGAAGGTCTTAGATGCAGCACTCAGAACTCACAACTAAGTTTTGAAGAAATTCTTCAAGTAAGTGGTTGTTTAAAGGCGGGCACTTGGTATACCAGTTAAAATGCTGCCTGAGACAGCTACATCTGGTAGCACAGTGCCTGGGTTTGAGTCCTGGCTCCACTTTCTTTTTTTTTTTTTTTAATGATTTTTTATTTATTTTTATTTGCAACGTAGAGGTACAGATAGTGAGAGGGAGAGACAGAGAGAAAGGTCCTCTGTCCATTGGTTCATGGAGCTGCATTGGCGGCCGAAGCTGCGCCGATCTGAAGCCAGGAGCCAGGAGCTTCCTCCTGGTCTCCCATATGGGTGCAGGGGCCCAAGGACTTGGGCCATCTTCCACTGCTTTCCCAGGTCATAGCAGAGAGCTGGATTGGAAGAGGAGCACCCAGGATTAGAACTGGTGCCCATATGGGATGCCGGCGCCGCAGGTGGAAGATTAACATACTGCGCCATGGCACCGGCCCCTGGCTCCACTTTCTTTCTTTTTTTTTTTTTTTTTAAATTTTTTATTTATTTTTTTTTTGACAGGCAGAGTGGACAGTGAGAGAGAGAGACAGAGAGAAAGGTCTTCCTTTGCCGTTGGTTCACCCTCCAATGGCCACCGCGGCTGGCGCGCGGCGGCCGGCGCACCGCGCTGATCCGATGGCAGGAGCCAGGAACCAGGTGCTTTTCCTCGTCTCCCATGGGGTGCAGGGCCCAAGCACCTGGGCCATCCTCCACTGCACTCCCTGGCACAGCAGAGAGCTGGCCTGCAAGAGGGGCAACCGGGACAGAATCCGGCGCCCCAACCGGGACTAGAACCCGGTGTGCCGGCACCGCTAGGCGGAGGATTAGCCTAGTGAGCCGCGGCGCCGGCCTTCCTGGCTCCACTTTCAATTCCAGCTTCCTGCTAATGTGCATCTGGGAAGTGGAAGATGATGGCACAAGTGCTCAGATCACTGCCACCCACATGGGAGTCCCAGGTGGAGTTCCAGGCCCAGCCCCGCTGTTAACAGGCATTTGACGAGTAAACCAGCAGTGAAAAGATATCCATCATCCCTGTTTCTCTGCCTTTGAAATAAATTTTTAAAATTTTAAAGAATTTATTTAATTTTTAACTTAATAAGTAATGAGAGATGTTTACATAGCCAAAGATAAATTGAACAGCAAAAGGCCAGGTCCCTGGATACATGGTGCAATCATTCAAAAGCACTTAGACACCGGATGCCAGAAAGTGTAGGCATGAAGGACAGTGATGAATAAGACAGAAGTGGTCCCTGCTTTTGTAGAACTTAGAATCTAGTAAGAAAAAGAAAATGACAAACAAGAATCTTCACATCACGTGTCACCAGGGAAATGCAAGTTAAATCAATGGGAAATACTGTACCTGCTTGGAATGCCCTATCCCATCCCAGAGTGTCTGGCTGAGTCCCAATACTCCATGCTTTCCATCCAGCTTTCTGCTAATGCACTGGGAAGCAACAAATGATGACCCGAGTCTTTGGGTTCCTGTCACCCACATGGGAACCCAGGTGTAGTTCCTGTTGCTCTGCCTTTTAGATAAATAGTAAATAAATCTTTAATAATTTTTTTTTAAAAGTAAAACAACATGTAAGATATCAGGCCAGTTGGAGCCCGATGAGTGAGTTCACAAGGGTCCCTAGAGTCTTAAAGAACAATGAGTACTTTTTTTCTCTCTCACTTCAAAGTACTACTTGGTACATAAACCAAGAACACTGACATACTGCAGTTCCGACGCTGCCGTTTCTCAGTTGTATTCCTTACGAGTCATTTCTGAGGCATAGGAAGGAGTTTCTATGGTAGAAGCTAGAAACACACAGAGCCAGAATGATCATGAGTGCAGTAAAAGTCACATGAAAATTAAGTTGATTCATGCATTGAGCAGCAGTTCTGTATGAAACGTTACGCTGTGCTTTGTGAAGGGTATAAAGAAGTCAACACCAAAGCTGCTACAATGAAGGGGTTCTCAATCTAGTTAAGGAGGCAGGGCACAACAGTAGCTGTTTAAGTGGAGCAAGATAGCTCTAAAAGACATAACATAGGGGTCTTCAAAAATTCACAGAAACTGCATATTATCCATACATTTCAAAAATGCACCATAGCAAACTTACCTTTTAATTATAT